GCTCGATTCTCGTCGTAAAGTGCAATTGGCGCCCGCTAAAGCGAAGAAGAGCAGCTGCGACGGTCGCTTGGCTTTCGTTCGAGTTGCGAAAAAGAAGAAAAAGACGAAGAAAAAAGGAAAGGTGTCGAGCGAAGTAGGAAACGATCGACGATCGTCGGCCGAGGACGCCACGCGGACGTAGAAAAAGAAAGAGCGTAGGCGCGCACTGCTGACCCATATTATCCAGCCGTACGAACGCGTTGTGTACGAGAAAAAAAGAGAGAGTGTGAACGCGATATGGACTCGCGGAAGCTCGCTGCGCGTTGCTTATAATTTTCGGAGAGGTGTCGATGATACGGTATCCCTCTCTCGGCGAAGTATCCCTCTCTCTCTCTCTCTCGAAGGCCAAGGCAGCTACTCGCGAGCAACGCGGAGATCGATAATACCCGGAGGGAACGCGTGGTGCGCGAAGAGCGTCAGGGAGATGTCGATATATCTTCTCTCCGCTCTCGGCCATTCGGGAGGCTGCGCGCGGCTTTGTCCGTCGAACGTGCGTGCGCGTTATCTGCAGCGCGCGATAACGACGTATCGCGAACCCACGAGCGAGCGCACGACCGTCGAAACCTCGACGACGTCGCGAGCGTTCCGATAAACGCGATACGCGTCCGAATGCCAGTCGACGTGGAAGCCCCGACGATGAAAAACCGACTAATGCCTCGAGGCTCACTTATCTCTCTGATGTTTATGCGACGCGTGTCGCGCTGACGTTCTAATGCATTTGAAACGCGCGCGTCCAATTGTCAGGTTCGCTCTGGCGCGACTGTCGACTGGCGAACTTGGCCGCGAGTCGATGCGCGCGCGCGCGACCTTGAGCTTTTTCAAGAAGAGCAGGAGGACGAAGAGGAAAAGACAGTTGGCCTCGGCGAGCTGAATTGGAGCTCGCAGCTAGTCCCGGAGAAATGGCGCGGCCGTACCACTTTTCCGATGAAAACTTTCTCCCCTCTCGTTCCCCCGCTGAAAAGGCTACTGCGACTGCCATTCAAACGGCCACTCTCCGAGAATTTTCGTCGTTTAAAGTCGGTCGTTCGCGAGTTTCACGGCGTATCCGAGGCGCGGCGACGCTAATGGAAATGACACGCGCGCACGTCATTATCGACGTTGGCACGAAAGCGAAACGCTCGGTAAACTGTGACCGAGCCAAGCAAACTTCTGGCCGACCCACTTCGGCCGTTTCCACGCGCGGGAGCTTTCGAAGGGATAGCGCAACGGGCCGCTCGCCTACGCCAGCCCATAGGCGCAGCAACGACAGCGAGCGACGAGATCGACCATCCAGCCGCGTTCGCGCCCACGCGCGCCTTTGCCATTTGCCGCTCTCCGGAAGAGCTTGAGAAATCGATAGGCCGCCGACCGGCCACGCGGCTATTATCGTTGCGATATCTCGTTCGTGCCCCCTGGCTTCGTGCTCTCCCGCTTCCTCCACCTCCTCCTCCTCCTTCTCGTCTTTACTTGGAATTCTCTGACGATGCCTTCGACGGCTACTTTGCTTGTCGTAGAAAACACCGCTCTCACTTCCTTCCGAGGTCGAGGCGCTGCAATTACCATCGTAACTCTCGCGAGCTTCGCTGCTCTCGAGGCGCTCGATTTTGAGTAATCGCTTTTGTTATGCTGAATTTGCGCTCGAGATAATTCAACGTGAGAATATTACAATTGGCGCGGCCAAAATCCGAACGAGTACGCGGATGAATTAACCTCCGTAGTGGGCAGCTTTGCTCGTTTCTTTTGTCGCAGTCACTGCCAGGAAAAGCTCGCTTGCTCTTTCTTTCCCTCGCGGCCGCGCGAAAAAGGCATCGTTTGATCGCCGTTTTCCCATCGCTATTATTATTATTATTATTATTATTATTATTATTATTATTATTATTATCACGCGTGTAAGGTTCACTCGGCATTGCGGCCATCGTGTTGCAGAAAAGAAGGTCGTGCGAAATAGGTCACTCGTGGGAGATTCGATGTCGGTGTTAATTGAAAAAAAGAAAAAAAAAAAAACGACGGTAGTCAGTGCCCGAGACAAAGTTAACGATCGACGACGGGGGCGACGTAATTTTATTCCACTTTCAATGACGTAACGTCGTCGGACAAGTATCGAAAACGCGACGAGCGCTGAAACTTCCGGGGGCTGGCGCATAGCGCACAAGCGAAGTACAGGCTACTAAAAGAAAAGGAGGAGGGAGAACACGAGGTTTTCTCTATGAAAAGTACACACACAGAGAGAGAGAGAGAGAGAGAGAGAGAGAGAGGAGGCGATCCGGTCGATGACGCGTTCACGCGATTACGCGGACGCCCCGTGCCGCGTGGAAAAATGCAGCGAGCGGAAACGAAAGGGCTTCGATGTCGTGCAAAAAGAGAGCTTGCGCAACAACGGCAATTTCGGTAAGGTTTCGACGGAGATCCGACCAGGCAAATAAGCTTTTTTTTTCCTCTCTCGCTCGCGGACGGTGTGCCGGCGTTGAGTTTGCAGTGGACCGTGCGCCGGTGAACAAGAAAAAAACAAAACAAAACGATAACGAAGCTCATCGGGAACTTCGGCTTCTTTGTCTTTTGGATGGATGCGCGTTATTGCGTATCCCCGACGCGAGAGAGATACATAGCCAGCCCTCGTGCGACGAGTATCGAGCCAAAAATAGAGACGACGCGCGGTGGTGGCGGTTGTGTGGCTCATTAGCCATTCTCTCGCGCCCCAATTAACCCCGTGGCCAAGCTTTCGCATCCGAAGGAAGGAAAGAGATAGAGAAACAGACATTGCGCTTTTCCGGTCAGGGGAGAGCGGCTGAAAAATCTCGGCCTATGATCATCCAGGGACGTTCCGCGCAGTTCCTCTTGCTCGGAAATGAGAAGAGATAAGAGCGCGCTACGATAATGCCTTTTTTTCCGAGCAAGCTTTTCTGCGCCTTACATCGTTGAACGGCTATCGCGCAATCGATTTTTTCTTTCTTTTATTTCCTTTCGGTTTTCGCGATAAGCGGATGAATTACACAATCAGCATTGTTATCTGGCGCACGAGCAACTCGTTCCGACAAGAGGGAAATCGATCGAAAATTCAAGTCGCCCGCCCCGATCGCATCCTGACCGACTTGCCACTCGAAGTAGCGTGTGCTTGCAAACGTGTCGTCGATGACACTCGGCGGACCCTTTTTCTCACGCAACAAAAGCTCTCCGGCACGCAGCGACGGGCACTCTTGTTTCGTTCTTTTATCGACTATAAGCGCGCGTCAATGTTTTCGCGCTCCCTGAGGGAGGCTGTCCGTTTTACAAACGCCCACTAAGTTCTTTCAGGTTATCGCATAGATTTAACGGGCTCGAACGGAAGTCAGCCTTCGTTACGCGATCGACGCGTTCGCGTTGGAAGAAAACAGTGCAGCCTTTTGACGATTCGTATTAAAACGATAAATACGTTCGCAAATAAAGCAGTTTGAAATTAAAAACTGATTGGAAGCAGATTCGGCTTTCGAAGAATTAGTGGTACAAAACTGACACGTTACATACATACATATATACGTATACATATATATATATATGCGCGCGTGTGCGTGAGGTTCACTTGATAACCGAAAGCACAATCGAGCAATACAGACGTCCGCACATCTGACGACGTTGTAACCTCTGTCGAGTCTCATCCGCGGAATCGATCTCTCGCGAGCTGCTACTGCACAAAGCCGAGCACTGTGCGATGCGTCTGTCACTCACTATACAGATACATATTTATAAACTCTCCGAGCAGATCAATCTTCCCCAGTAATCAAGTAGAGGTCTCGCAATCTTGTTCTCCTTTGGCACGTTTTATCGCGAGAGAGCGAGCGAGTGAGTATGCGTGTGTGTGCGAGCGCGCGCGAGAGTCGAGAGGTTATGCGGATAATCGATCCCATTCACGCGCGCCTCTCTTTCTCTCTCTCGCTCTCTCTCTCTCTCTCTCTCTCTCTCTCTCTCTCTGTCTGTTGTAAACTGTGCACATACGCGCGCAAACGCGGCCTTGTCGCTCCGAGCAACTCCGAGTCGTCGAGAACCGTGCGAGCGCAGGAGAACCGCGTGGGCTGGTCGTTGATTGCCGCGAGGGGGGCGCAAAGCGAGCATCGCGAGCAGATCGAGACCACGTCGACGCGGCCCGTCCGTCTACGTGTTGTCCTACCTGAAGCTCCATGCCTCTCTCAGCGGCGACGTCGAGTGGTGAGAGCCCAGGGCAGAGGTCTCATGTCGCGAATAAGAAGCAGCCCGAGCGCGCGCACCTCGTCGTCGGCGAACCATCACTGAGAGCAAAAAAACCGAGAGACAGTCGCTCGCTCGCAACGCTCCGAGCGCGAGCAGGCGCGCGCACGCGTTACGTACGTCCCTTCTGGTTGTCCTGGATACTGTCGAGCGAAATAGAGACAAACAACGCCAGCGGTTCCTCGACTCCGCGCGCCGCGTGTAAACACCGACTCCCATCGGTTATGCGTGTGTGCAGAGAGAGAGAGAGAGAGCGATGCCTCCGAACGTCGTCGGCAAGGCAGCAGACCGAGGAGAGGTCGACGCCCGCAGGCGCGAGCTTGCGACAGCGAGAGTCCGAACGGCAATGCACCTTCGCGCGCGCGCGACTCGTGCAAGCTCATTTTTCGCGCTTCGCTTCGCATCGCGAGGGGTGTCGAGGTGGAGACCGAGGCTAAGCGTCGTCTTGCGAAACACCGCTGCAAGTCCCGTTCGGCGGACCAGTCCGATGAGATCGATAGCGCGGCAGCAGCCGGGTCAAGGCTGCCGTCGATCTATCCCGCGGATTAGCATTGTCGCTGCTGCCGTGGACGAGCCTTGCATCTCTCTCGCTCTCGGCATCTGGCCGTCGAGCGAGCGGAGACTAATGGCAAAGCCGGCCGCGAAACAGCACTGGCAGTTATGTAATTGGCCTGCTTGTCGAGGAAGAGAGCATAACGAGAAAAAACGGAGCAAGGAAGGGAAAATCGATGAGAAGAAGACGGGGAGTAGCAGGGCGCGCATACCTTAACGAAGTGCAGGTTCTCCTTGTCGAGCAGAAACTCCATGGACTTGTGCGGCCGGGCCGTCTGCTCCTGCGATGCGCGGTGGTGATGGTGATGGTGGTGGTGGTGCGTGCCATGCCCATTGGTCACATCGTCGCAGGCGTCGCACTCGTCGAGCGGCTCGTCGACCTGAAGGTTGTGCTGCTGCTGGTGGTGGTGGTGATGGTGGTGGTGGTGGTGGTGGTTGTGGTGGTGGCCGTTGGTGTGCTGGTGCTGGTTGTGGTTGAGGTTGAGCAGGCTGCGGGCCTTCTTGGCGGCGGCCTCCTCCTCGGGCGCGTCGAGGTCCGTCTCGAGGAGGCCGAGCGGCCGCTCGCGATGATGTTCGCGCGACTCCACCATCCGCGACTTGCAGGCCATCTCGATGGCCGCCGGGTTGCCAAGGTCCGTGGCGGCGCGTCTGCGCGTCGTCTGGCCCCCGCCGGAGCTCGGCCCCGAGCCAACGCGCAAGCTCCCCGGCGGCAGGGGCGGCTTCCTGCACACTGGCGGCCTCCCGTTGCCCGCGCTGAAACACAAATGCAGACGCGCTCTGTCGCTCAATCCAGTCTCACTTGCCCGCTCGCTCGAGCGACCCTACTTACCCCTCGAGCGACAAACATCGATTCACGGGCGCTACCCTTTCTCCCTCGTCCGGTCGCTCGAGTCGCTCGAGGCGCTGTCGACTTTTTCAAGGGGGTGCGAGTCTACGTCGGATTCAATTCAAACACCGAGTCATTATTTCAAAAGTTAAATTTATTTCTCATCGCTTCTTTCCCTTTTCTCTTTCTGCCTGCTAAGATTACATTTGTCTCTGGAATCTCATCATGCCTTTCACGATATTTTCCTACTTTTCGATATAAAATCTCAATGCGTGTCGCGTCAGCTACAAATATCGTCTCCCGTTACTTATTGCGTCTGTGAACAGCATACGTTGCAGTAGTTTTTTACTAAAATACAATGTAAATGTCCTGCATTGTACATTATGCGGACAGCCTCTATATTTTAAACATAAGGTATAATATTATCATTGTTTTAACATGTGGCAATATTTCTATAAAAAATTGAAATGTATAATATTTATCATCGTCATTTTCGTTATTATTAATTCTGTATAAACGTCGTTGATGACTTTAACAAATGTCTTTTTTAAAAATTAACGTTTCCGGGGTGCCGGAAAATACAATAAAAAAAAAAAGCCGACAAAGAACATATACCGAAGAAGAAATCTTTTTTCGTCGCGCCCAGCACGCAAACTCTCTTTGTTATCATAGTCGTCGATCAGTGCCAAAAAAAAAGAAAAAAATTACGGCATCTCGTCGATTATAAAGCAGATCAATCAACTCACACGCATACGTTCACAGCATACTTACGAGATGAATAAATTCCTCTCTCGCATTGTAACAATAACAATAATAACAATGCGCACAGAGAAGAAAGTAGATTTTCATAGAAGAATGTCAAAGAGCTTTTTAAACACTTATTATTTATAATCGAAGTGTGTATTAGGAGAATGTTTTCTTTTTCATAAGGCTACGGATATTAGGCTTTCTATTGTTATTATTCATCTATTACAAACGTTATCAAAGACATCAATATATTGGGGCAACGAATCGTCTGTTGTTATTTATTTATTTTTTGCTTGCACTTTCGATCGTCGTCAACTATACGAATCGAGCGCGCGACCTTTTTTCCACAGCACTGTGCGCTTTCCTTTCTTTTCCCCTCCGTAGTCGCTGCTGCGCGTAACGATATACCCGCGCAGAGGCCAATCGATCGATCGACCGCTTGATCCCGCGCGCGACGAAATTCGAATACCGCGACTTGTCTACGTTGCGCCACGCGCTGAATAGGCTGGCGAGTTGTCTCTTGATCCCTATCTTTCAACGCGAAAAACTCTATCGCCTTTATACATTATTTAATCGCCTCTTAACTTATACCTAAACTAAGCCGAGTGACATACTTTTTCAAAGTTCGTTGCGACAATTATCGTTTTCAATCTGAGCTTTATTTTTTGTGGTCCTCGCTTTCTTTGCGCTTTCTAGTTGATATCGGTCAACCACAAAGTCGCGCTCGTAATACAAAAGTTCACTTCCATCTAAAAAACATTTGCACCTACAAAAATTACGTAACCCCCCCTCCCTCCTCTCCTCTTTAGAACGACAGAATAGCGGCCGTCAATTTCCCAGCAATGGTAAAATTCAGGTCGGCGTCGCAAGCTTGAAACGAAAACGAAGTGGCGAGCTTCGAAAGAAAAAGCGAAGCCGCGCGGCAAAATCACGACGAATTCGATTGTATGCGTAGGAAAAAAAAACACACGGAAAAAATTGACGAATGACGAGGAAAATCAATTTCGCGATGCGAGGCTTCGACGGGAAAGAAGGTCGCGCAGCGATAATCTTCCGCGTGCATGTTTAACCATATAAGTGCGCGCAAGTGAAGATTAACGAATAGAGGCTCGAAGCCTACTGGGTTGGGTTGGGTTTGTTGTGTTCTCGTTATTGACGAACTCGACGATGATTGACCTTGGCCCGCGATAAGGTACACTCACATTTTCGTTTTGTCCGTGTCTCTGTGTCTCAGTTTCGGTGGCTCGTCCCTGGCAGTGTCAATAAATGTATTATCTCGGTGCTGAGACTCGTTGTAGGAAGCACACTATCGCACGACTACTCCAGTGATACTTGATTTATCGTTACTCTTTTTTTCGTCATCGCTGCGTGACGTATGCCAATTGGCACGACGGAAACATACGCCGTGCGAGGTCCCTCCGCGCGGATAATGTAATAGCGAGAAGACGCGAGAAACAACAACAAAAATTCGTTTTTGCCCGCAGTCTCGCTGGTTCCGTAGCGCACGCCTATGGAATTTTCCCGTGGGTGAATCACAGAAAAGCGCGGCGACCTTGATTAATTCAGCATAGCTTGCGTCACCGTCGTCATCGGAAGTCGCTTCGGCTTTACGTACACGCGCGCGCATGATGCTTCGCGAATCGCCAACGACTTGACTCCTTCGCGTGACATAAGCGAGACAAACACGAGCCAATTAGAACTCAACAATGAGATATAAAATAAAAGGAAAAACGAAAAGTACGAACGGGAAGGTTTTCTAAAGCGATAAATTGGATGGCGGCGATAAATTGCAAGTATGTATCCGAGCAATGAACGTCAATTTATATAGCTCGCGCGCGCGCCTACGTATTTTAGCCTCTCGCGACATTTGCGAAACGGCACTACGGCGAAATTCTCTTTTTATGAAACGCACACATGCCCGCAGGAGCCTTTTAAGGCTCTCGCGCGAAAGTTAATGATTTCGTTTGAAGTTTCCCCCGTAGCGTAGCTTCCAGATTAAAAATCGCAGCGCACGCTAATTGTGCGCGCGCACGTGCGCCTCTTGAAATTCGTACACGGCGAGTGTCCTCCGAATGAATGCCAGGCACAGAGTCTCGAGGAATACCGCCGCAGCGATTCATACGCTCACGTTCCAAGTAGAGTTGAGAGAGAGAGAGAGAGAGAGACAGAGAGAGAGAGAGAGAAAGGAAGACCGTTAGCCGGTCATCACATTGTCAAGAGTGACGAGAATTGGCGCGCCCTGATTAGGGGATTCTGCCTTTGTCCCGCACGCGCGACCGACGATTCATTTATTATTGCTGCCTTCGACGGTGATGACAATGAAGTGTTTGCGAGTCTTCTTTTTTCCTATAATTGACTTGTGCGAGTGATAGAACTGCACAATCGTGGAGTTTTTAAGAGTTTTTTTTAACTTCCAATAGTACCTATTGCGGATGAAAATTCTAGTATTATTTTGCGTTTCGAAGATACAGAGAGAAGAATTCGTAAACCTATAGTTTCTAAAGAGAAATCTTGGTAAGAAGAATACGTATTGATCGATGCGCATCGTTGTGCCATTAAAACTAGCTAGGCTGGATAAAAAATCAAATAGCCCGTAATTATCGTATTATTTGGTCGACAGCGGAAAAGGTTACGGCTTCAACGATATATTCGTATGCTCAGCGATAATTAGAAATTCCAAACAATGTAGTTTCGAGTCTGTGTCAAGAGAGCATATATACCGCAGTAACGCATTCCTTCTCGACTGCTGCCCCTGACGAAGAGATAAAACAGAACACTCGTCGTTTCTCACGCGGATGCTAAACACGCGCGCGCGCTAACACTTGAAATGCACCCCTCGAAAAGTAAATGAAAATTTCGAAAAAATAAATAAATAAATAAATAAATAAATAAAAAAGAAGCACGGCATCGCGCTCACGAATTCTCGAGAGCGGAAAAGAAAGCTTCCGGAATAAGGAGTGGCATCGACGAGTTGTATAGCATGACGAGCTATTAGGCCTTTCGTGATATATTTAGATTTGTATTGGTGTTCAAAAAATTCCCTACGTGATATATCTATGATCTAGGTATTCGTAGAAAAAACATTATTTTTTTTGCGATTTGCGCCGAAAGAAACACAAGCGAGAATCACGAAGCCGTTTTTTTTGCGGGAGAGCCTGCAATAATAATTGTAGCGTGTAGGTCGGTATTTTTTTTCAGTCTGACGTAGTCTTGCCGGTATGGATGCGATTGCGTCGTCATCGTCGTCGATTTCGTCTTCCGACGAGGTTTGTAGGCAGAGGCTCAGTCAGTTGGTTTTATTCGTCTAGACGATTATCTGTCATTTTTAATTACCTACAACAAGAGCATGTTTATTTGTTGTTGTACATGTTTCGATCAACTTGGACAGAAAGAAAAGAAACACTGAGGAGATAAAGACAAACTTGCGTAAAACGAATATACTTAGCTAATGGATTTTGATTGTCGTGTGTTTGAATGTACATAACGTGCTCTTGATGATGATAAAAAACTGTCGCAGTGGTCCATGCACTTTCGCAGGTGAGATTACGACGAAGTAAATAAATGGAATGCTCTTCGCCGTGCGACGATAGCTACTTGAGATCTCGTAATGAAATCGTTGATGTTGAAGGAAAAAAAATGATTCGCTATACCGTAGACAAACGTCTAATCGAACAAACATGCGTGTAACAGCAAGACAACATTCATGCAGACGAGGGTGCGCGAAAAAAAAATGCTCGTATCTCGTGCGCTTTGGTGGCGGCGCGGCGGTGTGCGCAACAGGGGGCGGTGTCTCGGGGGCGTCAAACGACGACGACAACACAATCTACAATTGAGGTCGACCGAGCGTAAACAAAACGCTCTCTCTTTCTCCGTCGAGCGGAAGTTGCTCGTTAAATATTTATCCAGGAGTCGTCGTCGTCGTTGTCGTCGTTGTCGTCGTTGTCGTCGTCGTCGTCGTCGTTGCATCGTCGCCGCGGACTCGAAAAATGTTTCACGCGCCGTGTTTACCGACGTCGCGGCCCTTGACAACTTAAGCCGATTACTTGGACACTCCCCTCTCTCTCTCTCTCTCTCTCTCTCTCGCTCTCTCCTTGACTCCCTGCGCGCATGTGTGTGTGCGTGCGTGCCCGAATAGGAAGACGAAACGCCTGCTTTCATCCGACTTCAAATGCCCGCATATAGGTAAGGCGTAAATCAGCTGCGAGTGTTTGCGAGAGAGAGAGCGAGAGAGAGAGATAGAGAAAGAGAGAAAATCGACGTGGACCTCAAAAATACGAGAGGTGCACAGGCGGAAAAAGCGAGGAGGGAGAAAGAGAGCGTCGGAACAGCAGAGCGTGGCATTGTTTACGTTCGCAGGCGGTGAGTCAACGCCTATTTCACGCCGCCCTCGGCTGTAGCAATGTACGCGTGCGTACACACAGCTAGAGTGTATCTATCTGCGTGTATAATTGAACAGCGATCGCGTGTGCGTTGACATACACTGTGATGCACAAAGAGAAAGAGAGGGGGGAGGGAGAAGTAAAAAACGCAACTAGATACATAACTCACCTAACATTTCTCTCAGCTTCCTGTTGCTGCTGCCGCCTGAGCTCTTCCTCTCGTTTGAGCTCCTCGGGCGGCGGATGCAGCGGTATTATGATGTAATCCGGCTCGTTGTTCTTCTTCCTCGGTGTCGTGGCCGCGAGATTCGGCACAGCACCATTCACACTGGCGGCGGGCTTCTTTTGCACGCGAGAGCTCTCGGAGTGAGGCACTTTGGAGCGGCCACTGAAGCGCAACTTGGAAAACCGCTGCAGGAAGCCGCCGAAGCCGGACTTCTTCTTCTCCTTGTCGGTGGCGTTGCTGCCGGTGGTGTTGAGGGCGTTCATGCTGCTGGTGGTCCTGATGGCGGGCTCGCCCGACAAGGCGAGCCGCTTGGCCGCGGTGGCCGACATCTCGTTGTGGCGCGGCACCGTGTTGGCTTCTTGCTCGTACGCTGTCGCTGGAGAACTGAGCAGGGCACCGCCGCCGAGCGTAGCGGACGACTGCTGCTGCGAGTCGGCGGCAGCGGCGGCGCGATGACAGCGTGGTGGGGGCTCGCGCCGGCACTCGCGGCTCTCTTTCCTCCACTGCACGTCCTCGCAGCTGCGGGAGTAGCGCGGCGACGGTGACGACAGCGACAGGTGACGATGACTCGTCTCCGCGCAAGCGGCGTCGATCGGCTTCGTCTCCAGCAGGCAGGGGTAATCCGTCTCGTCGTCCAGGGCGGCGGTGGCCGCTGCCGCGGGACCGGGGGACGAAGCGCTCGCCGTCGGTGCTCTACTGCTGGCCTCGTCGCCACCAGCGGCCGACGAATCCGAGTTTTTTTTTAGCTGGTCGAGCAGCGACGTCTCCTCCAGCGGCGGCGGTTGCCTCCTCGGGCCCGCGGGCTTCCGGCTGGGCGACGCGTCGTCCGCGCCCCTGGCGACGGCGTCGCCGGCGAGGCTCGAGGCCGAGCCGACGGCCATCTCCTCGACGATGTCGCTGACCCGCAGCTGCGCCGACGACGCGCGGGCGCTGCACGACGGCTCCGGCAGCTCCTCGCACGCGTCCATGCGGTAGATCTGCTTGCCGAAGCCGAACGACAGGTTTTTCATCCAGTCGTGCTGCTGCGCCAGCTCGTAGCTGGCGTTGTTGAGCGGGCGCCGCGGGCGCGGCGACGCGCCGGCCGCGCCGGCCGCGCCGGCCTCGCCGGCCTCGTCGATCGACGGGTGAATGTCGCGGTACTTGCGCTTCACGTTCGACTCGTCGACGTTGAACTGCTGGGCCAACTCGTAGCTGGCGTTCTTCTTGGCGCGCTGTCGGCGCAGGCCCTGCTTCATTTGCTGCGCGCTCTCCAAGGCCGCCGTCAGCTCGTCCACGTTGGTCATGTTGCCGCTGCTGTTCGCCTCCTCGACTTCCTTCGTCAGCTGGCGGATGGCCTCGTCGACGTCGTTCTCCATGGCGATGGCGATTTCCATCACGTCCTTCTCGACCCGGTCCTGCGTCTTGACCGTCGTGGTCGCGAGCACTGGCTTGTCCTCCAAGACGCTCTGTTTCTCGTCCTCGTTCACTTTGCTCGGCGTCATCACTATGCCGGATTGCTGAGCTGGCTGCGTTTTCACCGAGCACGTCAGTTCCTTGGCTCGCTTTCGCATCCTCGCCTTCTCCTCGCCGATCGTCTTGCCCGGCTCGATGTCGCTATCCTCGGGTATGGCGCAGTCGTGGTTCATCGTTGTAACGATCTTCGCCATGTCCTCTTCCACCACCTCTTGGTCCTCGACGTGCTCCGGATCGCGTTGCTCGTCTACCGCCACCACCTCCTCCGCCGCCCCGACCCGATCGTGCTCGTCGTGATCGTCGTGGTTGTCGCGGTCGTCGCGGTCGTCGCGGTCGTCGCGGTCGTGGTGGTCGTGGTGGTCGTGGTCGTGGTCGCGGTCGCGGTCGTGGTCGCGGTCGCGGTCGCGGTCGCGATCGTCGTCGCTCGACTTCAAGCGCTCATCGCGACCGCAAAGCTCAAGGTTGACCGGTACGCTGACTGCACCGATGGCAACGACGCTGGCACTCAACGCCGTCGACTCCAACAGGCTGGCCGGCAGACTGGGCGCGCTCTGCCACTTGTCCGCGAATCTAAAATTAAAGCTCGCCCCACCGCTGCCGCCGCCGCCGCCGCCGCCACCGCCGCCGCCGCCGCTGCTGCTGCTGTATCTCGGATCGACGGCGCTATATTGCAGGGAATTGCAAGCGCTGCCACCGGCGCTGGCGCTGCAATGGTGATGGTGATGCCGATGCGAATGGTGATGATGATGTCTTCGCCGTGGCGTTCGTCGCAGCTGCACCGAGGGATCGATCTCGTCGTAGTCGGACAACTCGTCGGCCGAGTCGTAGAGGCCGGACTTGAGGTCGAGGAGGGTCGACTGGCGACGCGTCTGCTCGTCGTCGGAGTCGAGGCCGAACTCGCGCAAATCGACGCTGTTGCGACAGTCGAGCGACGCCGAGTGGCCGTAGCCCGAGCTCGGATCGACGCCGAAGACTAACAGCTGATCGACCTCGTTGTACCGCGAGGGGCTGAAGTCTTCTTCGCTGAGGTTCGACGACGAGTCCTCCTGCCGATCGTCCGAGTAGTCCGAGGAATTGTTGTCCGCGTCGTTCAGGTGCCAGAGATCCCTGCGCGCGCGTGCAAACAGACGTTGCGTTCAGACAGCGGGCTTTTTCATGGGCGCGCGCGCCGATGGAGCCTGCGCTCCGGCTTCGTTCCAGCTTGCGTGCATCGGCAGCCATCGCGCGCTTGTTCGCTCGCTCGTTCGACCGCGCGATAATCGGCAACGGCAGCCTTTTTTCTTTTCTAATTCTTTCAAAACCAAAGGTCGTTTTATATTTAGCATGCTTACAACGCTATGCTCGTTAAGTTGGCTTGCTTTAAATAAACACTGCTATACACCTGCGGCGCGCGTCTCGCTTTTCGAGCATAGAATCTCCTCTGATAACGATCGGAGCATCTTGACGTCGGTTGAAATTATCGCGTGCGCGCGCGCGCGCGCGCTCGACCGAGTGCACTCTGACGAAAGTTATTATCCATCCCACACAGTCTGTAAATCGCGCGCGAGCGAGAGGGAGAGAACGAGAGGGCTCTCGACTAAACGAACTGTTCGAGTTGATCGAGGCTTATCAAAATCTTATCGGTGTAAAGTAAGTATTGATTAAGAAAGCTGCTGGCGAGAAAGCGCACTCGAGCCGCCAATAAAGTTCCGCGCGCGCGGTCGACAAAAGCACTTTGCTCTCTCTCTCTGGCTCGTTCGAGCCGGGCGCTCATAGCTAGTGCGTACGGCTATAAACGGGAGAGATGTGGGCCACTCGCCTCCGACGTCACAGAGATAAGCCAAGAGAGCCGTGCCGCTCGCTCGCTCGCACGCTCGCTTCCTTCCTTCTCCTGTGCACGCGCGGATGGGTTTTCCTGGTCGTTCCGCTGCGCTCGCGACGCGCGCGTGCCCCGTCAGGGTCAAGTTTGACACGCGGCGGGCTGCGGAGCGCGCGATCCGCGCCAAGAAAAATTCGGGTCACGTGCCGTCGGGGGAGAGCCAACTCGACGAAACGAGCATCTCGCACCTCAAGGTTTCGGAGCCGTTAATCGCCGCCGACGAATTGTTTCGTTTCGAGCGCACGCGCGTCGTTCGAAAGCTCCTCGTCGTTGCGACACGGCTCGCTGCGGCCATTTCGCTGGCCGCGCGAGAGAGATCGACTCGTCGCCGCTTCTATTTCTCGTCGGCGATACAGCGAACGATTTCTCTATTGCGCTTCGCCAACTTTTCGATTGCCGTTCGGTTCTTTACGCGCGAGGATGGATCTCGCGCCGAACGCCACGAAACCGACAATTTCCGAAAGTACATCCTCCGCGCGCGACAGCAAGGTCCACGCGTCACCCTCGCGACGAGCACTGCGCGCTGTGCCACGTGCGCGAGGGAAGAGTCCACTGATCGCGCGGCACTGTCAACAAACAACGACGCGCCGCGCATCGGGCTGTCGCGTGACCGCTGCTGGCGAGGCGAACTCGTTCGAAAGGCGACCGAGGAGAAAGAAGGAAGGCAAGAAAGTAAGCGAAGGTTGCAACTGGTATTAAATCGATGCGGCGAGATCTGCATCGGATCGCTGGCGCGCTCGCGTGCTCGTGCGGACGCGCGGCGACCTGCGCTTCCAGTGCGCTCTTTCGCCGAGCACATGCGCGCTGCTCTCGAACCACGTGCTCGCTCTGTCTCTCTCTCTCTCTCTCTCCCTCCCTCTCCCTCGTCTCTCGCGCAGCAGCAGCAGCAGCAGCAGCAGCGCGCGAGCCGCGGATAGCGCTCGCTGTCTTACCTTCGCCTCGACCTGGGCCTCCTGGCCAGCCTCGACAGATCGCAGTTCTTGCCGTAGGCGAATCCATTGGCCAGTAGCAGGGACGACGAGGGCGACGAGGCGTGCTGCTGGTGGTCCTTGTCGTTGAGGCTCTCGAAGCTGCGGCAGGGGCGCAGACTGGCGCTGGCGCATCCGTTGAACAGCGAGTAGTGGTCCTGTAGCTCGAGGCTGTCGGGCGAGGCGGCGAACTCGCGGCGGCGAGCGCCGTGCTGGGAGTCGAGCGAGTCGAAGGGCGGCGTGTGCGGCAGCAGCGGGCCCGAGCTGGCGCAGGTGCGCTCGAGCGACTCGAACTGCAGCAGCGACGAGGAGCGCGACGAGTTGCCCGACGACGAGCAGCACTCGGCCGTCGCCGCCGCTGCCACCGCCGCCGCCGCCGCCGCCGCCGCCGCCGCTGCTGCTACACCCCCACCATGCGCCTCGTTGTTCTTGCGCCGGCGCTTCTTTGGCACCACCGAGTTGCACTCGCTACCACTGCCGTCCTGACCGACACCGTCTGCAAACATTGATTTTTGTTTTTACATTTTCGCGTCGGCCTTCGTCATTTTGCGTTCGAGCTTGCTGCTCTTCAACCATCTCGCTGGACGTTCTCGACCAGTAGGGCTACGAGCGCAAGAGCTTCGCAAGCGTGCGCGTGTTACGGCCGATCGAGAGGGCTCAAAGTGGGCCACTGGGATTACGCAACGGAGGGGGATGCTGCGGCATGGCCGCTCGGGAGACGTTCAATCGTTCGACGGGACGGCACGCGGTAGTAGCAGCGCGCTCGCGTTACCCGGGTCTCTCGAGCTCCGGTACGTTGCACTCGCAATGGACTCGTCGCTTTGCAGGATCGACCGCGTGGCTCGCCAATTATTATTCGACAAGTCGCTCGATGGAAAAAGAAATCAGGTCGACTCGCTCGTTAACCAATCGAACTCCGATGCAGGGCGGAGGTACAGTCCGCGCGCGAATCAACATTCAAAGTACAATTAGCGCCCGATTGATCAACGGTCGTTCCGAGGCTCTCTCGGTCAGTGACAATCCGCGTCCGAGAGCCGCTTTATCAGCTCGTGGGAATGTGGGTCGCTCGAGATGATCGTCGGAGTGGCCAAGTCGAAAAGTCTGGCACGCGTCCGGCGTCGGCGTTCCGCGGGGCCGTTTGCTCGCGCGTCGGCACCCGACGAATCGCTGTAACATTGATCGCGAGCTTGCGCGCGCGAGGCCGATCAATTCCGTTCGCGCGTTCACTCGCGTGCTCGCTCTGATTTCTGTCTCGGCGCTTATTTCGTCGCCCGTGCCCGGAGCTTAGCTCGGTCTTTCCACTTTGGTCGGCTGGCCGTTGCACCTGGGCGTTGAAGCCACCTCATTGACGTTGCATCGTGTATGTTTTATACAGCCGCGGAGAATAACGATAGCCACGTTGAAAGCTTCCCTTACTGGGATCATTTTAGCTGATCCAGTATATCTAACGTAACCTTTACCAATGCGATCGCAAAAGGTAGAATCCGTCACGGCATCTCGACAACTAGTCGACAAAAGTTGTTTCAGCTGAGCGATTAAAATAATCAGGGCGTCGAAAGAAAAGTCAATAATGTCGTCGCGTCGCGATCAGAATATTTTTTATCCGGCTAAAAAGCACCACGTTGAAAGATTCGATCGTAGTTGTACAACAAACGATGACAAAAACAGAGACAAAAAAAAAAGAAAAAAGAAAAAGAGACTCGTACGTCACATGAGAGGCTTCGTCTAATTCCATGTGCGCGCGCGCGCGCGCGCGTAGAGACCATTCCGGTCATACCCATAGGAAGACCGGCTTCGATGCTCCCTTGCGAACAATGCCACTCAAATTTCCTTAACCGTGGCCGTCTACCCGAAAAGAGGAACAGCGTCAGACAGATACGTACCGCTAACCCAGATCTATCCATCTATTCATCGCAAGTATAATTAAGATCCTCGCCTCCGCGTCATCGGTGAGAAATCGCACGCGACGTGCATCGGACGAGCGCGTCACAGTGTGAAACTCACACGTGCGGCGCTGCTAAGATTAGACCGCTCGGCGCCAAACGAAAGGTGTATTGCGTTTCGGTCGCAGTGTCGTGTATCCGCGGACGAAGTTAAGGAAGCGAGATAATTTCTTTTACCCACGTAGCCGCAGGCCAGCAGTCGGTCTTTTTTTTTTATTTGCATCGGCCACTGGGTTTGTCGTCGCCGAATTGAAGCGTCCTTTTCTCTTTTGTCACGACGACGACGACGACGACGACGACGAGAAAAAACTTTCGGGACGGAAGACTTTTCTTCTTCTTCTTTTTCTTTTTTAATTTGCTCGTTTTAATGGGACTTTTTTCCCGGAGGAGCTCGACTTTTTTCCTCTTCTGTTTTTCTTATTTGGCGAAGAGAAACTTGTGGCGGAACGGAGTGACTATTGTAAATGTACAAAGAGAAAAAAAAATATTTGACAAAAGCACCGGCGAGATGGCATTCCGATAAACGAAAGTTTGTCCCTAATTTGAAAATTAAATGTCCCGCCTCATCCGTCTGGCGAGCGATCGTCGCTTCGTCGCTGCACGTTCTCGGGCGAACAATTAACTTTGAGGTCCGGTGAATGTCGACAACTGTCCGACACGTAAACCAAGAGCGGAGTATAACTTGACGCTATATTTAGGGACGGCCGATTCGAGGTGCGACGGCGGAAATAAGTTTCGCCGATAATTGCGAATGGTATTCGGTAGGTGAGAATAGAGGCAGGTAGTAGCGCGCGGAGGCGAGAGCGAAGCCGCCGGCGCGACTAGACGCAGCTGACGCCGAGAGAACGGCGAGAGCAGCTCGTCTCTCGTACCTTATACATCGACGCATTTGCGGGTGAGTCAAGCTCGGCGTCCAGATCGCTCCTGGCGTTTATTTTCGTCGATTACGAATCGGTGCGCGCTCGTCCTTTACAATTAGGCTGCGCGAAGCGGACTCGTGTTCCGTACGCACGCCAGTTTCGCGAGGCGCGCTCGAATCACGGGACCCGCAGCTTCTACCCTGCTGGCGAGTATTGTTGTGAAACTCCTTCGAGCGCACCGCGCGAAACTACCAACCTTGCGAGCGTATCTGCGACGACCGAAACAGCAACAACGACAACAAAAAATGATGTGTTTATTTATATGTACAGCGAATTCGTAAAAATAGCGAGGTTTATGTTTGTCCTCCACGGCGGAGTGTATATATATTCGTCAGACGGGCGCGCGTCTCTTTTCACGCAATCGCGAGGGGTGGACGGACTTTTTTCTCTTTCATTTGCCGAACGTCTCGTTCCTTAGATCACATTTGTCGAATTATATGCTTGCTTCGTTTCGGATTTGTCTTGTCTCCATTTGGGAACCGAAAAAGTTATTTTACGCAGGAAGGGATGTAGAGAAGATAGCGTGCGATGTGAATATCAAATTGACTGGTTTCTTGTAAAATTACCGGCCTTAGAACACGGTGAAGACGTTGTATTTTCCAGCGGTGCTGCATTCGTTGTAATAATACACTCAAGCTTTCGGCAATGAAATCCATACGATGTCGTTGCAGAACTATCGAATCACACTAGTGACCAGCAAAAATAACGATAGCAAAGGAATTTCGTATGATTTTCCATAAAATTCAGCCTGTTGAAACCGTTCGAATCGCGATAAGAACAAGAAAAGCCATAGAATCGACGCAGCGCCTGGCGAGACGGCAACCGCGCATGCAGCCGCGTACGCAACGACAACATTCAGCCAGGCAACTACGTAATACACGTAGTAAGTGGATACGCGCGTAGGCTAAACGGTAAGCATTAGCTTTGTTTTGCAATTTCACCTTAGTGATTATCTCCGTTGCATAATCGTGTGTATATTTTAAATGCGCGGCATCGTTGCGATAGATTTTCGCGAGCCAAAAGAATGGGTCGCCGCAAAAGTGTGTTCATACCTGCTGCACGTTGACCGGCCTTGATGTGAATTACGCTCTCGGTTTCGGAATCCGAACCTAACCAGTAGGTCGTGCCACTACGATCGGAATCACTTTGCAGGTCGTCCGAAGTTTCTTCGAGGATCGTCTCCAGGAAGTCTCCTTGCATCATTTCTGGAAAATCAAAGATCATACATTTTTATGATTTTATTATCTCCGTACAACAATTTACAGACGTGATATTACCCTTTAAAAACAAAATGAGCCTGCAATACTACGAATATAAACTTAATTACGGCCGCGAGTGGCATTTAACTCGTGGTAGGTATACTCTCAAAATGGGTGAGAAGGTCGACGTCTTCACAAGCTGAATTTAAAAAAATGTATACTTTTTAAGAGTAGTTTAAGGGCTTTGCTTACGCCACTTAGCAAATTGACCTCTATTTAAAACTTGTTAATGTTAGAATATGTATGCAGGAGTTTTTAACAATATTAGTCTAAAGAGCTCTGGTAATTACTAGCCAATGCGAATGACTCAACAAAAGCAAAAACCTTCCTTCGCTTTCAATGTCGATTGATAAATCTCTTTGCGAATGTGGTCGATACATCCAAGACGCAAAAATAACGTCTTCTATTTTTTTTTTTTCTAACGCGAATTAAGGTCACATAATAACATGTTATTTTCTCCGTATGAAGGCTGATTCAGACAATAACCACAGTTTAATATAGCGTGAATAAACGTCACTGAGGCAACCATCATCGTAACTCGTAAAAGCATTTTCTTCGATCGAAATAAAGGAAGACAAACTACGTATGTGCTCATTTTATTGCGCTTTTGAGAAGCGACAAAAAAAAAATGGTCGACAATTGCTAAGTTGCCGCATATCTGGGTCACATTAACCGAGTGTTTTTACCGTGAGAGATTGTTCCGCGTGATACGCCTCTTACTAATAAACTTATCGAACAAGAAGCTTTCGCAAACACACAGTACAAAGCTCCAAGTTATGTAGCTTTATTGGTGAACGCCCGCGAGATTTCGAGGTGTTTTGCAAAACAATCGACAATGGCGAAGCTCGTGAGCAACATTTTAATTTCTAATGTGTCTGCGAGAGAATCGATTAGTTGTTTCATTTTCTTTTGACTGTGAGGTGTCAAGGAAATAAGTTCTTAATAACATCTTCACATAGAGAAAAAATCACGGACGGTATTAGTTTAAAATAATTATAAACAATAAGTACGGATTACTTTAATAATCGAAAAGTATCATGAAAAAATTGAAAAAACGAAAAACAAAGTAAGGTAGAAAGAGCAATTTATTCTCATTAGTTATTGATTTATAAATTACAAAATCTTTTTAATTGTCGATAACTTATTCATTTCAAATATTCGTTAGTTAATAACAAATAATGAGAGTTCAATGCTGATGTGTTCCATAATTTCGTTGCACGAAAATGTAAGATAATTCAAACTAGTGGCGTAGTACTAATAATAATCAAGAGTGAATATTATTTATAGATAAAAATATGCGTTGAACTCAAGATGGGACATTGTTGAAATCATCGTTCAACGGTGATCGCCTATCAATATCTGGCGATAACAAAGGTATGCCAGAGCATTGAAAAAATTAAAAAGACTTTATAATTTAGCAGATAATAACTAATAAAAAAATGACTGATTTTACTCTAAGACAAGTGGGATTTGAAGGTTACAATGAAGTAAATTCACTTTGATAAATTATTTATTAAACATGCTGTCCTTTACTCTAGCCGATCATTCTCCCATCGACTGTCTCTGTTTTTTACTCATTCACGGCTTAGAAAAATAATTTTCTCCAACACTGACAAACGAAATAACGAAAACTATTATAAATTTGAAAAAAAATGAATTGCCGAAATCTGAAGATAGTTGAGCAAAGCGTTATATGAAGACGCTTTAGAGAAATGCTGGAGCGTGCTAATTAATTGTTAGCGAACATATCGATGATGCCTTGTCACATTAGCCACACGCTTGTACATCGAAAGGCTTGCTATGTGCTTCGAGGAATTGGTGCACCTAATGTGAACTTTGAGGGAAAAAATGGTGTAGAATTGAGAAAAGAAAAGAAAGAGGGAGGGAAAGATCGGGCGCCGAAAAGACATTGGGTTGCACACAAGCGTAAATGCAGAAAAAGCTTTCGCGCGACGCCGACGCCTCGCGCGCACCAAAAGTCGTTGAACTCGAATCCCTTCAAGATCACCCAACAAAGGAGCCTAGCTCTCACTCTCACGAAAGCAAGTCCAAATATTAACAAGTAGAAAGCAGCAACGCGCGACTGGCGTCGGCGTGCTTAGGACGAGCAACCGGCGAGTTCCATAAATAAGATTCCCCTTCACCGAGGCGACGCGGCCAAGCCATCGCGAAACAACCTGCCTTCTTCCTTCGCGTCTTCTTCTTCGTCGTCGTATTTTTCCTGTCGCTGCGTCTAAAAACAAGCGAGCTGTCTCATCTCGCTCAAAAGTTTTCAATGGCAAGGCGCTCGCTCGACGCCACACACCGCAAACACATCGAGTTTACTCAGCTTCTATAACTCGAAACCGAACGGATTGCTCGCGAAAGGATGCGCCGAGCTGTTGAATAATTCACGAGCGAGCCTCGCGTTCGCGCGAGCTGCGATTACGATTGATAGCCGTACTTTGGCTCGCGCGCACCGCGACCGAGTTCGTCCGCGAAACTTGGTCACGCGCATTCGCCATTATTTCGCAGTTCGTTAACCCACAATCGCACATAAGTGTTCAGCTTTCGAGCTTCCAAATAAACTATGCCGAATTTTCGTTATCTCGCGTTTGCCCTGCACGACGAGTATTATTTAACTACAGTTCGCTCCGACGTATTTATGGGTATACTCGGGTGTGTTTAATTACTCCCCCTGTACAGCGTTTCACTTGAGCTCAAACTACAAATCAGGAAAAATGCTTTCGCTATACAGAGCGCGAGTTTATCTGCATACTTTTTATACCCATACACGCGGGTTTGCTGTCCTAATAAGTCGACTAGCTAAAGTAATTTCCTGTTCCGTGGGATTTCGTTGCTTTTAACATTCAATTCGTTGGCTCGTTCACATAAGCACATACGCAAGTTATTTGGAAAAGTCTGGCGTATTCTAGGATATGTAATTTTATATGCTATTTTTCAATTGGTTTTCACCGTTCGTTCGACGGTTATGAAGAGTTGCCCTACGCATCAGCGACCTGAGTACATAGCGAAAATATTGAAAGTTTAACTGCATTTAGGTGCGCATGAACATTGATATCTTATGCAGCCGGATTCGAGTTTACACGTATGCAGAGGACATTCAATCGGTGAATAGTGTCGTAAGCGCCCGGCTGTATAGAATCCAATACAGTCCGAGATGTAATAGAGTAGATGGATACCTCTATTAGCCTGCATTGGCCAATCATTCAGCCAGAAATCATTCTATTCATATTCGTGGCTTAACACGTAATTTAGCAATTAGGGTATTACTCTGTCGGCAGTGCAACTTTATGCAATAAGTTGCCAACGATTTATTTATTAGGAGCCACGCCAAGAGTATAACATTTTTTAAGCGCCAAGCTCGCGAATACGGTATAAGGCATACGTTTGTAAAGTGGTATAGTATAAAAGCCGACACAGCGAGTGAAGTTAGTCCATCGTACTCCCACACCAACGTCAACACTAACACCAATCCGTTACCAACATCAAGCTCGATACCAATGCTATTTCAGTTCCAACTTTATAACCCCAAAGAGCAAAATATAGAAATAAACCGAGATCAATATTAAGACAAACTCACCGAGAAAAGAAAACTAAAATCATAGAATGAGACGAAAACCGAAAATCAGATCAAAACAATACTAAGATTGTGATAAAGGCCAAAGAAAAAAGCTAAAAAGAATTAGAGTACAGGAAATCGAGTGAAACTTTGCGTTTATAGACCGCGATCAGAATGCGACGTGAGCACCGCTGGGGCCAGCTCGATTCTGCCTCGTGACGTATTAGAACGCATGAGCAAGTCAAACTCTGTGATCACCATGGGTAACATCTTTAAGCCTAAATTGGCTGGACAACGGCATAGCTGTTCGTAAGAGCGCGGACGAGCTTAACACTAGGTATGTGATAATAATTCGTGCGCCAACCGTTGGTTAAAAAACGAATTGTTGAATGAGCGTAATACCGCTTGTGCTTATATTTGCCATCGGCAGATCAGCTACGTTACGTGAATTTCTCTAACATATTGTTGACCATCAAGCCTTTATACGGATAGTGTTCCGGAATATGACCGTAGCAATATGAATCAGCATCCATAGATTAACAATGGTAGCCTGAAAGGATCCCGTTCGGTAAAATCATCGTAAAATTAACCAATTTATTGGCTATCAATAGTGACAATGCTATCTGACATTGGACATGTAATATCGCGCGACAGATTTCAATAACGTATCGTGGATTGGCGTAAAATGACAGCGCGCCGAAGCTCGTTGACGGGAAGTGCAGGGAATGCGCGTAATTAATTATTTTTAAAATGTTCTTCAAAAAAAGCTATAGGGTCGTTGGGCATTTACTATAGAGCGCTCAGGAGCACTCGATTGCTGCTCTTAACCCTCTTATATAATTATACTTTAGTATACTATATTCTGCGAGCTCGCTCGACGGGTGGTGGTACGTGAGTACGTAAAAACCGCATCCACGACTAATCCACGACTTAATCGCTAAATATAATCTTGCTTGATTGGACTCGGCGGCTCTTATATTTGCAGTTTGTCTTGACAAGTCTAGCCCACACTACACCCCCGGTATATATGCGAGCATGTTGCAAGTCAAACATTTCAGTATCATTAAACGCCAAGCTGTGAGATGCCGATCATCTATCTGTTTTCACTTCATTCATTTGAGGCTACCGTATTCGGGTTTTTACATGTATAGTAGAGGACACCCAATCGGTAAATCGGTCCCATACGCATAAGCAGCTCCTGCTAGTGTAATAGCACCAATACAGTCGAGGCAGGAAAAGGGATTCATTATACTGGAGGATAATTCTTTCTTTTTTACTCTTCAGTTTTTTTCACTCTCCGTACGGGGCGTAAGTTAGCTAAACGAATAGTAGCTTTGATTCGACGCGTCAAAGGTAAAGTTTTGACGGTAGCACAGGTCTGTAC